AGCAACTGATCCGATATCACAGGTGGTAACACAGAAGGTAAAGCACCTCCTTCTGAGATCTGAGCGAATAATATCTCTGGGAGTATTGGAGGGTAAAATTAAATCCTGTTAGGTACATACTATATAACCTAGTTTAATAAATATAATATAAAAATTTATAAAAGCTCACTGCTAGACTAGCCTGTTTTGCTGTCGATGACTATGTATTTGACCATCCAGCTTCTAGCTGGGTTTGCCCCACTCACAGAGTAGTAGCAGGTCCATCTAGAGAAAACCACGATAGGTTATCATTAATCTGCATATATATAGAAATATATAGTTTATATGAGATGATTGATGTGATGTCCAGGATTTTATTATCCAAGATGTTAAGTTAATTCTTAATAAAAGCACTTGCATCTAATACTAGTTGCAGTTTAAAAAAAAAAAAAATTATTTGGGTCTTTTAGATCTTTTGAGCTTTCTGAGTTATTTAATTTATAATAAATTATATTAAGTTATATTTGATAAAATGATTTATATTAATTAAATATTAATAAAAATATTAAATAATATTAAATAATCAATTATAAATAAATGAATAAAAATAAAAATAAAATAAAAATTATAGTTAAAAATAACTATTTTTTTTTAAATACTAGCTTATTCTTGTATCAGTTTAGAAGCTTTTATTATAATTAAGATATATTCTAGGGACAACTGGAATAAGTAATTACTCATACTATTTAAAGATTTACAGATTAATGAATAGTACAATGGATATCTATTTATATTTCACCCAACCAGAATAGGGTAACTATATAACTATCTAGTATAGAATTGTCTCTCAATTCTAACTAAGCTAGAGGATCTAAGAAGTCTATACATTTAATCTGATAAAGTGATTCTAACTGTTTTAAATCTATATACTGTATTACTGAAGTAATACTTCTTAGGATCATAGCCCACTGGACAACTTGTTGTTATTCTTATTAAGGAAACTAATATATCAAGAACTTATTTAAGATGTCCAATACTACTGGTATTAAAGGTTCTTATATGGAGTTTTATATGACTTTGTTAGTGTTTAATGTTTTTTTTTTAAAAAACTTGTCTTGTATCTTGACTTGTTTTATTATTTAATTGAAGCTCAGTCTTGTATTAAAAATATCATATCATTCAATTTTTGCCTTAATTGAAGCTTGTCTTATGCTTTTATACTAGGTGGATTCTTGTCTTATTATGGATATGTCTAGTCATGTCTAAAAATGATTGAGTTTTTTATCTTATGTCTTAGAGAAAAGATAATCAGTTTATATTTGATATATTGTATTACTTATTTAGGCTATATTTAAAATCTTATGTTATATCTTGTCTTGTTATGGTTATAATAAATGAATAGAATCCTTATTTACTTTTTATTCGAGTACTCAGAAACTGGTTATATGTTGAGAAGTTATATCACTTTTGTTAGTTTTATATAAAACCTTGTGTTGATTTTTATTTGTATTTATTATAAGCATGATGAGTGAACAAGTTTCTTTTATGGGCTTATTAGAGTACTTGATCATTATTATAGGGAAGATGAGATCTTTGTATCACCTGTGACTTAATTTTCACTTGAACCTCATATAATATTGAACTCTAAACCTTGTGATTGTAACCTAGAAGCACTATTACTATGCTATATATCCACAGGTCTGATTAAAAATAACTATTAGAAATTATTTATTATAATATATATATATTGTATTATCTATAGTTAAAGATAGATTTCTAAAGGAGGAGATAGGGACAAAAGTCAAATGTTCTTCACTAGGAAACATTGAAATTTTTAAATTAATAGCTATAAAAAAACTATACACAATTGTTTTTAATTGTTCAAATTATTAATTTACAGTATTTCCTGACTTTTGTTCCTATTAAAGTAAAGAGCTATGAATTTTTTTTCTCAAAAAGGGACATAAGTGATCTGCAAAATTTGATATTCTAAATACTTTAGAAATCCATAATTATCTATAATTAAGTTTGAATTATTTATTGATTATTTAAATATATAAATATAAATTATTTAAGTAGTATAATATAAGTTTAATAAATAAATTAATTATAAGTAATAATAATTTCTAAAATATTATTATATTCTATAATAAAAATCTATAGATTGATAGTGCAGTGGTTAGCACTCCATAGGTCAGATCACAAGATATAAGTTCAAATTCTGCAGGGGGCATGAACACTTATCTGTTGGTCAAACTGTATATAACTAATATTTTTAAATATAACTACTGATTAATAGAGAGGAAACCTATTAATTATATAGATAATCTATATAAAGATTGTGATTGGACCAATCTCTAAAATCAAAACTAGAACTAAAGATGGATCTCTAAAGGGAGAGACAGAGACATAAGTCAAATATCCTTCACTAGGAAATATTAAAATTTTTAAATTAATAACTATAAAAAAACTATTCACAATTGTTCTTCATTATCTAAATCATTAATTTATAGCATTTCTTGACTTTTGTCCCTATTAAAGTGAAGAGTTATGAATTTTGTTCCTTAAAAAAGGACATAAGTGATCTGCAAAATTTTATATGCTAAATACTTTAGGGACCCATCATTAACTAGGACAATCCTGAATTGGTAATACTGTCTGTGGCAATAAGAAGAGTAGATCCAACTGATTGATAAAGTATCTCTGAAAACAGGCAGACAGGTAAGTACTAGACAATAAAGGAACCTCTTATTCTAACTACCAGGAGGCCTTAGTGGAAAGGAAAACCCATTGACCACTCTGAAGGACCAAAATACTGAATTCAAAATAAAGAAAATTTGATAACCTGATAACTAGCCTGCTTTTAATAAAATTGTGCTGGAAATAATTAAGAAAAAATCATATGACTTTCCAATAAGATGGTATTTATATATATAGTATAGTCTATATAACTAATTAATATAAATAGAATACTAAGAATACTTGATGTATATAGTACTTATTTAATGTAAATAAGATATATTAAAGTAATATATTGAGGGAAGAAAGGGTTTAACAATATATAAATATATCGTACTGTTACTGAGTAAACCCAGAAATGAGTTGAATATAAATTAAAATTTGCTAAATAAAAGTTATGACCCTAATATTCCAGTACCCATTCACTTTTCCTATATCTTGGAGCCTGTTGAAACTTCTGACTTATCATTATCCAGAAGAATATCAATAGAAGATCCCATACTGAATAGGGTATAGAAGAAAAAGACAAGAACTGATAGACAAGGATCATAACATAGAGATACTGAAAGTAGCGAAGAAACAAGTACTGTACCCTGAACTGATAAAGCCTTCAAAGAATAACCAGCCTATAGTATTAATATAGTAGTAATAGTATATCTCCAAGTCACCCATAATTAAACTATTTTCTCTTTCTTCTGATACCTTTTTTGTACTGTAAAATCTTTACCTTTATTTAAATTTGTATAGTCTTAACTTTATTTTTCTTCTATAAATAGAGTTAGTAAAGTAGGGTAATGAACACAACTCCCCTTATCCCTCTTGGATTAAGTTAGATAAATTAGATTTGATATACATAGCAACTTTCCCTTTTAAAATTTTATATCACCCTAATGGTTTTTTTATTAGGTTTCTGTTTGGAAATGGCTTAGTTATGAGGTAGTTTTTAAACCTATTATTAGTTTATTAGCATATCATTATTATCTTTTGGTTGGATGTACTTATATAATAAAACTTACTAATAAACTTGACCAAATCAGCTTAAAAAAAAAAAAAGTATATTCTATAATAAACTTTATATATAATTCTTTTAATTTATATATTATAACTAGTAAATTATTACCATTATATATTTTATTATACAATTGAAATACAAAAAACTTTAAAAGAAAATAAATTAAAAATATATATAAAATATATATATTTAAAAATATACAAATATATATACTGTATATATACTGTATATACAATAACTTATAAAAAATAATCAGATTGGTTTAAAAAAAAAAATAAATAAAATTTATATTTGTTTGATCAATATATTAAAAGGAATTTGATTATTTCTTTTAGAAGATTAATAGACATAATGCTTTTAATAGAAATTAATATTCCTATAATATAATAATATAATATTTAGTTAATTATAGCTTTTGTAAAGAGTTCTTTATAGTAACATCAATATTAATAAGAACATATATAAAAAAGCATAAGAAGTAAATAACGAAACATCTATTGAACCTTTTAACAATATGATTCAGATTTATTTTAAAGATAAATAATTATTTCATTATATTTTTAAGGACTAATCAAGAATTAATTTATGGGATGGATTTTGTGCTATATAACAAACTAACCTTTATTGCTTTAAAGAGATAATAACAGGAAAATATGTATCAATATCATAAAAAAAAATATTTTTCAGATCAAAGAGATGCTTGTTACCCATTGATGCCTTTAGCAAGACAATTATTTTTTGTAATATTAATATATATATATCAGCTATTATGATTTGCAATTCAAAATCCTAATTTGAATTCTATAGAAAACCTATAGGCAATTGTCAAGAGAAACATGAAGATTCAGAAAATATTAATCAATTGAAATAGTATATGAAGAATGGGCAAAATTTCACAAGAAATTATAAAAAATTTGATGGGATCGATGAATGTCTCGACTAAAAATTGCGCAATAAGTTACTGTATATTCTTTTTTAAATTGATATAAATCGCACTGTAACTAAAAAATAAAATATAATTTCAACTTCATATATTCAATCTTTATTTTAAAAATAAGAATTATCGGCGTTACATCTATTGTGTCTTTACATAGTTAAACAAAAGCTATGTGATGTAAAAAAAAATCATTTTTTTCTAATGCAAATTCCATATGGTCTGACATCCTTTTCATCTTTAGAAATCCAATACTCACCTAAACCAGTTTGTTGCTTTCCAATCTTTATTAAGTTTGCGGGGTTTATTCGGTTCTGAAGTACTACAATATATTTCTCCCCCTTATGTTCAAACTCTGTTGCATACTTTTCAGCCACATTTATATCAGGTGTAGAATAAATGCCACGGCCATAAGCAAAACGTGTTCCTTTGCTTAACAAGTAACCGTCCGTCGCAATTGACCTCGCATTGTACCATAGTATGATACTGGCCAAG